GATGTCAGAAAGTGGTCAACTGATAAAATGTTACTGATATACTGATAAGCATTTTGTAAGTGCATCACTTTTTGATATTCCTTACAGGAACTGGGATAAATCGGGTCAAAATTTGAGAGGCCCTTTGATCACAAGTTTGAGTGAGTTTTGATGAACTAGCTAATATCTATTCTTCACGCCTCTAATGATTTAGTAATTTTGAAACCGAAAGTTCTAGAAACTCAACTATTCAAATTTTTTAAATTCCTCTCTTTACTTGTTAGTTTTGAAAGTTTTACGATTTCAACATTTCTATGAAATGTATGACATAGTGATCCCTCTAATGAATAGGATGTCCTTCTTCTTGTAACATATAATTAAAAATGGTTAACTGATAAAATGTTGCTGATAATATGATAAATATTTTTTTTAGTAAATAACTTTTTGATATCTTTCACAGGAGCAGAGATAGATGAGCTCCAAGATGACGGTCCGGGAGCAGGGTTTCTATTAGAAGGAATACGGTATATGGTCCTAATGATCTAAAGTATTAGTTTGCATCTCCTATTCCTAATTTCTTCAAGACCCTCTTTCCCCAAAAAATCGATGGGGGATACTGTAGCTCCTGCGCCACGTCACCCTGTGAATAACAACACAACCCTGTCTCTCTCCCAATTGCCTGTCACTCTCCCTCTCTCTGTCCGTCCCGTCCTCTCCTCCCAAAACACTTCTTCCCTCTCTTTCGGCCTTTATATAAGAGAGAGAGAGAACGAGCAGGACCCCCCTCACACACACACACATACACATTTTCCCTCTCTCTCTCTGCGTCTCTCACCCCTTCAACACTAATTTCCCACTCTCTCGCCCCCCGTCACAGCCACCCTCTACCACACACATTTCTCCTTTCGTTTTCCTCCCCCTCCAGTCTCATGCAATTCTACACTTTTAAGGATAGGATAACTTGGTGAATTTTAGGAATGAAAAGATGAGACTAGATTTTTTGAATTTGCCGGGAAATTTTGAGTTGAAGGATAGTAAAATTGTTGGGGAAAGCTTAGAGTGGAGAGATAGGAGTTAGCTTGTAATTTCCAGTTACAGTAACCCTAAACTTTGATGCTAAGGAACCAAAAGCTTTTTTTCAGAATCTAGGGGTCTAGAGCAAGCGACGGATATACTTTTTGTTTGAAAATTCCAATTTTGAGCCGAGTTATAACGCCATGAAAATTGGGACTGTTTTGGGGGCGTGGCTTTCTGAAACTCTCTGAAAATTTAAAAAGTTAGAATTTTAGGACGTTAGACGGTCATTAAAACTAGAAGGGACTGCACTCAAACTTAGGAAATCCAGATTTTGAAACACTGAAAAATTCAACTTTCAAAAAATTTTATTTCTTAGGAATATCGATTTTTCTCTAAATCTCTCACACTTTCCACCTGCATCTTATTGTTTACATGACATATCCTAATCCATCAATACAAAGTCACTATCCTAAACTTTGTCTATTTTTTGTTTTCCCCTCTTTTTCTCTCTTCCTGTACACAACAAAAAAAAATTACGCATGATTCTTCTCTTCCGTATGACCTTCTCTTTTGTGTTTATGCGCACACACAAAGCAAATGCGCTTACAATTAGCACAAAATTAATGGTTTCTAACTTTTTGGGTTTCTGAAATTTGGAGCTGGAATCAGTTTGATTGAATTTGTCATGGAATTTGCTTTTGATTGATACGAAATTCGATTTTTTCACAATTTGCTCACTTTGACCCAAATTACCTCGGTTCCTGTGACAGATTCGAAAAAGTGGTCAACTAACAAAATGTTTATCATAATATCAGTAACATTTTATCTGTTGACTACTTTTAAATATCTTTTACAGGAAATGAGGTAAATAAGGTTGAAGTCAGAGGACCGACTTTTTGTTTAAAACGCGTTCACAATTAACACAAGTATATTGGCTTCTAATTTTTTGGATATTCAAAATTTAGAGCTATAATTAATTTGGTTGAATTTTTAGTAAAATTTTCATTAGATTGATATTGCATTTTTTAATATTTAACTCATTTTTGCTTCAGTAACAAGTTTCCATGATTCTTTCCAGTTGGACCATAACTCAATGAATATTAAGAAAGGAAGTATGTTATTAGAAATTTCTAAAAATTACAGAAATTTCGATTCTAGGGGTGTTATAAATTGTTGGTTTCTTCTAGAATTAAAAAAAGTTGCCAGTTTCAATACTCCTCTAAAAAAATTATTTGTCTTCCTTTTTTATTATGTTTTGTCTAACGAAAAGTAAGCGGCATACTGAATCTTTAGAATCCTCAGAAGACTAGTAAGCGGCATCTCAATTTTTGGTTTTGGAGAATTTAGGAATTTTTTCCGAATTTTTTCTAGTAAACTTAGCCTGGAAATCCATGTTCCATTTTCAGAACTTTCGGAACCTAAAGCTTCTTTTTTTCCCAAAAAAAAATCGAAATTTACATTTTTTTGGAAAAAAAAACTTTCAGTTTCAAAAACACCATATTCTTAAAAGTTTTGAACAACCTATAATATTAATTTGATTTTCATCAGAAGCCTACTTTTGCATGACAGTTCTAGAAAAATGATCAAAAAACAAACGTAACGCAAATGGAGTTCTTGAGAAAAATGATAACCCTTGAGTCGTTTTTAAAAGTATAATACAAGTACAAAAAATTGAATTGTCTACTGATTAATTAACCAACTCCAAGATTTTATAATAACTTTGTGCAACATTATTTTTTAGAAGTCCCAATAATCAATTTTTCTGAAATTTTATTTTTTTTTGCAAATAATAATCTGCAAAAACGTTTACTTTTCAATTTGTACTCTTTTAGATTCATTTTTATAGTAGCTCAATAGTTTGTTTTGTTTTTAAGTCTAAAAATTTCGACTTTTTTTTTCAAAAATTCGTAAATTTCTAGTTTATTTTTTCATAAATGTTGATGAGTTTTGAAATTTTTTTCCCGGTTTAGAAACTTTGATATTTTTGAAAACCAAATTATCAGCTCAATTTGTAATCAGATGCCAGTTGAAAATTTTATTTTTTTTTGGAGTAATCGCTGCAAAAAGTTCCGCTTTTTGAGAAAAGTCAAAAATCACAATAATTCCGAAAACTTAAAGGTGGGGGGACAGGAGATTTTACGGGGGATTTTTGGGGCCAGAGTATGCATTCTACCTTAACGGTGTACAACGCTTAATGTCACTCTGCGTACAGCTGTCGCCCTCGCCTTTATGTATGCAATCGGGCAGCGGCTTTCTCTTTGCACGCGTAGCTCAGTCGGTAGCGACGCCGCACCTTCAACACTCGCTTCGACAAGTTCAACTCCTCGAGGAGCATATTTAAACGGAATTTCGACAACATTTTTTTTCTCATGTCCCCCCACCTTTAAAAGATATAGCACTTCTGGAATTTTCTGAAAGGCTTTTATAACTTTTTGGTTTTTTTTAAATTTCAGAGCACTTTTTAAAGAAAAGTACAAACGATAAGAAAATAGTTTTAGTTTCGAACTCGAAAATTTTTTCTGCTTCACTAGTTTCAGAAAAGCTCTCATAATTCTTAAATTTCACTGCGTCACTAGGAGCTCCTGAAGACTGTTCAAATTGGCGGCCGCCCGCGGCCGATCATTTAACCTTTTTGGACCAAAAAGAAAAAAGAGAGGTGGCTATTATGTTTGCTCAAAAAGGTCAACCCAAAAGTGTTTATTTGCGCTTGAGTAAAGAAAAAAATATTGATAAAAAGTTTGGAAAATTTAGAAAGGAAACTCAAAATTCAATCGTCTGATATAGTTTCAGTTCATTCTGAATGGAAAATGAATATTTGGAAACAATGAAAAATTTTTTCACTGTTTCAAGTTGTCAATAATTAGTTACGATAAATTAATTCGTTGATTCTTTTGAATTTTTTAAAATTCAGAAATAATGGTCGGTAGATCGGTTTGTCCGGATGTCGCCATGTTTATTTCTAGAAATGTTTTCCTTTACTTCAAAATTCATTTCTTTCAATAATTCTTAAAATCTACTGTTTCGTAATCAGGAAATCATTAAAAACTAATAAACAAATTTCATTAAACACCATCCTTGATTTTCTTGCTTAGCTGTTTTTCTCATCGATTCCTCATTTTTATTTATTTCTCTATTCTTTTATTTATTGCTTTTTCTCTTTTTCCCCTTATTCTTTTTTCACATCCATTTTCTCATTCTTTTTCTCTTTCTGAAGGGCATTTTCTTTGAAATTTACACTCTAAAAAATAGGAATGTTCGGCAAATCTCGAACAGCTGAAATCAGAAAAAATTCAAATTCATTTTTTTAGAATTTCGCAATCCAAAAACTTGAAATTTCGGAATTAGTTCAAACTTTAATTCTAAAAATCAAAACTTCAGATCACTAGAGCAAATTTTATCTCAAAATTCAAAGTTTTCTCAAATTAAAACTTCAAAATGTTTCGAAAACTTTCTGTTTCTAAATGTTTTTAAATTCTGAAAAATCTCTGAAAATTGATAGTTACGTTATTAGCGTACTTGTAAAATTCCGGGCCGGCCCGCCAAAGCCCGGGCCCGGTAGCAAAAATTTTGTCATTTTGAACCGAATTTTGAGCTCTCAATACAATTTTCTATATTTTTTTGTGCTTTTTGGACTGTTTGTCTGTTTGATCAAAAAATATTTTTTAAAAAAACTCGAAAAAAATTTTTTGATCGAAAAAAATCACATAAGGGTCCCCCCTTATTTGTTTTTTGAAATTTTCAAAACTTGTCGAATGAGAGGCCTGCCGAGCCGGGCCGGGCCTCTAAATTCGGTAAAAAGCCCGGCCCGGCCCGTTACCAGTATGGTTATTAGTATAAGTTTTATTCAGAAATTTTGCCTATTCTATTTGTATTGAATTTTAAAAAATTGTCTGAAATTTCAATTTTCCCATTTTTAAATGTTTCAACTTCCTCTCTTGTCTCTCTTTAATTTTTATAAATTTAATGTCGAATCATTTGTTTTGCCAGATTTTCAAAAAGGAAACATGAACAGCCAACCGGGTCCATCTGATGACGTCATAAAGCTATCAGATTCTGAAGACCAAATTGACGATGATGACATTCGAATAATTACAGCTACAGTAAGACCACCATCCGCCGAGCAAGTTCCAGAAGATCCGAGGACCGAACGGCACACGATGGACTTGATGGTCAAAAAGGACGGTGAGAAAAACAATTTACTGTTTCAAATTATTGTCTTAAAATCTTCTGAATTTTTGGAATTCAATAACAATCTCGATTTTCAGAGCCCACGTCTTCTCCTCAACCGAGCACTTCTAGAGTGTCATCTCGTTCAGATCAGAGAACAGGTATGTGTGGGCAAGCCAGGGGCAAGTTGTGGACAAGCCCTGGGCAAGCTTAGAGCAATCCTGGATTTGCTTAGATTAGCTTCCTAAGTTTCCCATTTAATCTTGGTGTTTCTAGAAATCCTAACCTCCCCGATACGCCAATCCTCGGTACCGGCGTCTTGGGTTACTGTAGTTCATGATGCAGCTCGACAATCGTCAGTTCCAGCGACGACTGAGCCAAGTGAGATATTTGAGAACTTTAGAGATTAGACTTTTAGATTTATTAGATTTATTAGAGATGGTGAGAGAGCTAGTGAGGGAAATTCTCAACGTCAAAATGTTAAAAATTTTCAGGTTCATCTGATCCCAAAAAGCTTGAAATCTCATCTGGAACAACAAAGTTTCTTCGAAATTTTCTGGATAAAGGTGGCTATCAATTCAAGCCATTTCGAGAGACGGCGCAAATGGAAATTGATGACGTGGAAGATTCAGAAGACGTCCCAGAATCTCCGAAAAAGCCAAGAATGGGTTTTAAGGATGCCAATGGGACTTCAAGCTCTTCCAAAAAAGCTGACGATCAAATTCGAAGGTCCCGAAGTTCAGAATCACAGAAATCCGAGACTCCAGATGCGCTTTATGAGCAGGAAGAGGATTCTGAAGATGCTGGAACTCCAGAACTCAAAAAGGAAGATCCAGAAATCGGAGAGGACAATTCAGATGCTCCAAATTGCTCAGATTTCAAGAATGAAACTCTAGAAGACGTGGAAATGGAAGAAGCAGAGTTTGAGGATTCAAAAACATTCCAGGAATTTTCTTCCGGATCTAGAGACGTTCCAGAAGTGCCAGATGGTTCAAATGAAGCTCCAGAATTCGAAGTACAATATTCTGAAGGCCCAGAATCTTCAAGACCCGAATTCCAAGGAACAGAAGATTTCACAGAAGAGGATGCTCCAGAATTGGACATTTATGAAGATTCAGGACCTTTTTACCATTCTCCAAACATCCCAGATTTTTCAGAATCCAACAATTTCGTTGGTTTAGAAGAACCAAAGAATTCAGAAGACCCTAGAAATTCTACAGAAGCCGATGAACCAATCTTCGCTCCGAAATTCGCTCATCCAGAAGAACTAGAAGACCTGGCGATTATTCAGAATCCTTCTAGATCCTTAACACCTTCATCTTCCAAATACTCCCCTGTCATTGACACTCCACCATATGAGAGAGAAGATTCTAGAAGTTCTAGATCCTCCAGAAGTTCCACATCACCAAAAAAGAGTATTCCAAGTGTTCGGAAGGCTCTTTTATTCTCAATTCCTCGAAATTCAGAGTCTTCTGAGGATTCTAGAGACTCAGAATCTTCTAGAAACAACGTTTTCAAAGCCGTGGTTTTTCAATTGCCTTCAAGAAATGAGTCTTCTGGATTGACACAGGATTTTAACGATATTCAAATGCCAACGTCTTCTGGAGAATCATCCAGAATTCTAGAGTTGGAATTGAAGAATTCAAATGAGCCAATGGATGCCTACAATTCCCCGAATCCGAATCCAAATGATGAAACAATGCCAATGGACTCTTCAGAAGATCAGAGTTCAGAAGACGTCAGGGTTCCAGAAGCTTCAGAAAACTTACAGAATCCAGAAAATAAGAGATCACATCAAAGAAAAAATCCGAGGCCAGCAGCTGAAGGGATTCGAAAGAGTCGGAGGATCATTGGAAGAGAAGAGCCGCCGAAAGAGGAGGAAGAGGAAGAATTGATTGCTAATTTTAAGCGAGTGGAGGTACCGTACACTGGTAAGTCGGAATGAAGAGAATTCAAAACAGATATTGAGTTTCAAAAAAATTGTAGATATTTTAGAACTTTTGGAAACTGTGAGTTTTTGAAGTAAAAAATTCAAGAAAATTCAATTTTCGAAGAATTCGATCATATAACTTGAAACAAAAATAGAAAAATAATAAGAGATATGTCATCTGCGCACTAAATGGAATTCCAAAAAAAAAAATCCAAAATTTCAGAACTTTTTGAAACAGTAATTTTTATCTATATTATTTTTGTAGGGCACTAGAGGATGTATTGTGATATGAAGAATCTTAAACTTTTCAATAACTTGTAAACCTGTTTCGAAATTCCAAAATTCTTCATTTGAAAGTTTTCAAACTTGAAATAGAAAAACCAAGATTTGGAATGGTTGAACTGTTAAGCGAGTGCTACTAGTAACTTTTTTCATTTTCGATAATTTCAGAACGTTTTGAAATAGTGACATCCTTTGAATTATAAAATTTCTTGTTCCTATTAAACAAAAAATATAGGGAAAATATTTAATGACAGCTTGAACCAGTTGAAAACAAACTTTCGTTGTTTAAAATTTGTAAAAATTCAATAAACTCAGTAATTTAAAACTGCAAAAAAAGTGTCAGTGATTTCAATAGTACTGTTTTGATGATAGCTTGAAACAGTTAAAAAACCAAAATTTGAAAAATTCATTTCTGAATTTCAAGACTATCTGAAAATGAATGATATAATTATTGAAACATTATCGTAATGGGAAACATTCTGATATTTCATTGACTCTTCAAAACTGTAACTTCATCGGGAAATTTATAAGATTTCTCATGATTTTAAAAAATACTTCCAGTTACCGTAAAACCTCTAATAGAACGACACCCGGATCGTCCACTTTGAGCCTATATATCTCATTTTCTGCAAAAGAT